GACCCAACCCCTTACAGGAAAAGCCCCTGTTCTGTATTCATACCCCCTTGCTTCTTGACTCCCTTCCCCATTTGATCCCAATTTAATCAATTTTATCTAAACAATTCTTATTGGCTGACCATAGTTTTGTCCCACCTCATTCCACCTTGTGATTTCCCATTTTTCCCCTATCTTGGACCTGCCTCATCTCATGGTTTTGCTCTATAAAAGTCCCTAGAAAAGACAGTCTTGGGCAACACACTTGGGCCCCTCTTCTGTCTCTCTTTTGGACAGAAGCTTTCACTCCCTGAATAAATGTATTGTGCTTTTAACCTCCGTTGTTCCTAAAATTCATTCTTTAATTTTAGAGAACACGAACTCATTGCAGATATCGTTCAGGTTGGAGTTTCTATTTTCTTGTATCATTTTGGAGTTCCCCACAGAGATCGTTGGACAGAGGTAAGAGTTTGCTTTTGTTTCATAGACTCTGGATTGGGACTCATTTAGGTAACAAATTTTTATACTTCAAATTTTGTTATGTTTATAATTGCTCATAGTTGCTTATGGTTTGTCTCATATAATTTTGTTAAAATGTTGATAAACCTATGTTAAAACATGGGAAGGTTATAAGGTTATGATATTACTTTAATGGGAGCAGACAGAGATCAAAAGAGGAATTGAGATGTGTTATATACATATACCAACTACATACGAAGAGTGTAAACATGTACTAATCAAAAAGAAAAATTAATTATAATAATAATTAAATAAAAGAAACAGGATAGTGACTGGTAGATGAAATCATCTGTAAAGAAATACTAAATGGATTCAGAGTTGTTGAACGGAAGGAGGCCACTAGCCAGAGGCTATCTTCTGCATGAAAAACTACAGCCTAACTCAATATCAAACAAATTGAAAATCTAACTCATGAGTCTAATTTTTGGAAAAATAGCTACCTATCCATCAACCACAAGCAGCCAACAGATCAGGCCTTGTCCAAACAGGAAAAACACCTACACTCTGCTTCCTAGTTCTGTCCTTAAACACCCCCTGCCCCTTTTGGACAGTGGAGTTCTCCAAACTTCTGGCTCTGGGTTTTGTCTGATTCATGCATCACCCTTTTTGCTCAAATAAACTGTTAAATTTAATTTGTTCTCTTCTTTAATTTGTTCACTTCTCAAAGTGAACAATGGAAAAGTAACAACAGTGGGCTATCTTCCATGTGAGTACAGAAAGATAAATGTGTCCACCTGAGCTTGCAGGCTGAGTGCTAGGATCTTTCAAAAGCAAAGGCAAAACACATGTTCAGATAAAGAAAACCAGAGTCGGCCATTGATCAGCAAAACCCTGGTTCCTCTCAGTGAGGCGTGGTGTTCAGACCTAAAATCAAGGCCTTGCACGTTCTCATAGTTACTGGGGTGTTACTCTTAACCAGAAGAAGAAAATTTCCACAACTGTTTTGAAAGCAAAGAAAATTGAAAGAGAGAGAGAGAGACAGAGAAAGGTAGAAAATAAATTATAATAAGAAACAAGAGAATGAAATACATTCAAATGCTGTGAAAGATTCAAAATATAGCAAGAGGTTATTTTTAATAGCTTTATAATAATAGACAAGTTTCTTTAACACTGCACCAAAAACTGACTTATGAATAAACAGAAAGTCTGAATTAGCCCGTATTTATCGGACATTTGGAATTATTAAATAAAAATATTTCTAAAAGAAAATGCCAGGTGGTATTTATTACTCATTAATTCTACTGGTTTTTGAAAAGTTGCACAAATGACACCACAATGTAGTAAAAGAATATTTACCAAACTCATTTAGGGAGGAGCTAATTAACATGACCTTTCAAAACTCAAGACAATGAAAGTAGAAAAAATTATAGCCATTCTTTCTCATGTCTATGTGTTTTAGAGACTGTCTCCTAGCTTCAAACATTTCTTTGTTTCTTTTAGCAATAGAAATTCATACAGAATTTTGTATAACCTGGGCTCATAGCCACCTGGCCAGAGAAAATATATTTCTGCTTCCCTTGAAGCTGTTTGTAGCCATGGAATTAAGTTGGAGTTAATAAAATGAGAAAGGAGGGCAATTTCTTCCTCATCTTTCTAAAAAGAATGTTCAGGACTCCCTGTTTCACTTTGAGCTGGCTGAGAACTGGTAATAATTTGGAAACTAAGTACTGAATACACTAGGCTGCCCTGCCAGTCACAAACCATTGGCCTACTTCAAACTAGCCCCAGAGAGTAAATGCCTTATATTTTCTAGATTGGATTTTTTGTTACGGAACCTTGGATCCTAGAATAATTAATAATGTAAATATATTAGCAAACTGACTGAATCCAACAAAAAAAGATAAAAGAAGAACAAGTTGGCTTATTTCAGGGGTACAAAGTTAGCTAATATAAGGTATTTTATTAATATATTTCATACATTAGCAATCAAAGAATAAAAATAACATCATGGTCCCAGTAATTTCATGAGAAAAGCATTGGATAGCATTCATTTTTTTTTTCCCCTTTGGTACTGGGAATCAAACTCGTGACCTTGCACTTGCTAGGCAGGTGCTGTGCTGCTGAGCTATATCCCTGGCCCAGCATTCATATTTTTAACAAAATAAGGACAGAGAAGCCTCAAAAAAGCATAGTTACAAGAATTATACAATACATATTACTTTATATTATATAATATACAATATTATTATTATATAATATATATAAGGTTATGAACATCATGAGTGCCTACTTGAAGCGAAAGCAGCACAATATTGTAAGAAAAGAAAGAGAACTGGAGCACAATTTGTTGATAATGTGGTCTCCATAGAAATCCTAGGGAATTTATAAAGGATTACATTATTAAGAAAGCTCAGTGAGTTTTCTGGGTAATTTGGGTTCCTTAATGCTATCGAGATACAAATTGCATTTTCCTATGCATAACACATTTAATTTTAAGAGACATCATTTACAACAGCATCAAAATATAAATTTTCCAAGAATAAATACAGCTACTTTTATTATATGGAGAAAATTTTAAAACATTATTGAAAAATTTTAAAGGTTACCCCTTCTCCCTCAAAAGATATTTCATGTTCACAGAGAGGATGAGTCAATATTTTACAAATTGATCCATCAATTCAATTCCAATCAAAAACTCCAATCCAAATCCTAGCATGTTTTGTCTGTCTTCTTCTTCTTCTTCTTCTTCTTATTATTTTTTTCTTGGTACCAAGAATCAAACTCAGGACCTTGTACTTGCCAGGCAAGCACTTGTGCCACTGCGCTATATCCCCAACTTTATCTGTGTTCTTGTTGCCATTTTGTGGAATGAAACAAATTGATTTAAAAATGTATACAGAGGAACAAAGGATCAAGAGTACTTGATGTACTTCTTGAAAGGAAAAAAAAAGGGGGAATCCATTGTACTTGAAATCAGGGATTATTACAGATCACAAGGATTATCGTCACGTAGTATGGGAGCACACAACTGGTAAATATGTCTTACTTCAAAACCAGAGCCAATCAGTGAGTAGAGGACAACTTTCCAATACCTAATGTGAGACTAACTTGGAAACAAGGAATTAGACCCTTACCTCACACCATAAATAAGAATCAAATTGAGGTGGATTAAAGAATAAGTATAATGTACAATTACAAAACTACTAGTAGATGACACAGGAAATGATATTTTTGACCCAAGTGGAGAATGACTTTTTATCTGATTCATAGAAAACCTCTGAAGACACATTGGGAGACATCAAAAGGGTAATAATGTATGGTTCTGTTTTAGCAAGTTACCAAAGAAAAGAGACATCCCATACAGGGCAAAAGAGTTGTTCAAAATCTAACTTGGGCAAGTCATGGTGTTTTTGGCAAAGTGTCGGGGATAAGTCAGCCAATGCAGGCCTCAGGTATAGAGCTCTTCTCCTCACACCCCAGTAGGACTGGCCGCCCTGTCTGACAACAGACAGTCTGTCTCATTTTGAGACAAGGGCAAAGCAAGGAAAATTTAATGGACACTCATTGGCAAAAAATTTAGTTGCCTGAATTATCTTGCATAGGTAATAAAATAAATATTAAAGGTTGTATTGAGTCAGAGAGGGCATACCTTCCTATCAATATTAACAGATATAGTACATTAGCACCTGAAAGCTACACTTAACATTTTCATCTGTAAAACAGATAGAAAGACGTGATTCCTAGAGCATATAAAAATGATATAGAGCTAGGGACATCTGCCATGAACTATCCCCCAAATTATTTGGTTATAAGACAATGAATCACAGAAGCACCATTAAAAGCTGAGGCCAGGATATACTATCTGGTGACCTCAAAGTAATTGCTATAAATATTTTAACCCTCATGCTTCCTCATATGAGCTACCTGCGAATAGAAGAACTATAAAATCCAGATAACTGCAATTTTTTTTCCTTCTCTTCCTGACCTTTTCCTCCCATCTCCTATGGTTCCCTCTTTCCTTTCTCTTCCTTCTTTTACCTACTTTCTTCCTTTTTCTCCACTTCATTCTCCATAATCTTTTCCTCTCCCTTTTCTTTCTTGTTATGTGAAAACAAAACTTATTAGCAACCGAAGGTAGAAAAATTCTTTCCTTAATGAGAAGACACCAAAAACTTCGAATATGGAGCATATCTTAAACTTGTCTTAATAAACAAAAAATGTGCACCCAGTGTTTTCAACATCAGATGCTTATTCTATTCTCAGGAGTCTAAGACAATTTTTCTCTGTATGCTGGAAAGAAAAGATAGTCTTATTTTCTCTATCTAAATAATTTCAGGCATACCACAGATCAATAAACCACAGATGACATAAAACAATGATTATTTCATAAGGACAAGTCCTTGTGAAGTAATCACAAAGTCTAGACTTGTGGCTGTGACTTCTTTTATAATGGTGACAGCATAAAACATAGATTGCTTTCTTTTCTACAAGAAAAAAACCTCTGTAATACACATAGGAGAACACTGGAAACTCAACTGTAATAACTGTCCTGAGACCACACTGACCTCCACTGTTCAGCTTCTAATTTATGTACTCAATTCAAGTTGAAGAATGTGGATATTGCTCTAAGACACCTGCTTCATGTGTGCTCTTCTCATCCAGTTTCAGTGTCTCCTACTAATTTGGCCCAGCAGCATTCCAGTGGCTGAGGAGACACCTTGTCCAGCCAGCTTAGTGTTTTCTGAAGATGCAGGTTGAACCCATCAGCCAACATTAAGGTAAAAGTGTCTTCTCAGTGCTAAAAAGTCACCAACGTCAACATCTGCTTATATTCATTCCACAGTATGCATTTTCAGATCTATGTATTGCCCAAAAATCAAAGATTCTTTAGAAACATCATTTCCATTTTGGTACCCCTTTTCTCCTACGTCTTGCTGGCCTCCATTATGGGTTTGGGTTGGTCCTTTAGAAGCGAGGACAACAGAAGACATACTAATGGGTAACAAACATGTGGAAAAAAAGTTCAACCTCACTAATCACTAAGGAATGAAAATCAAAGCCACAAAGAGATATCATCTTGCTGATTAGAATGGATATTATAAAAAAGGCAAAAAATATATACTGGGGAATATGCAGAGAGAAAGGGAAATCTCAAACACAGTTGGTGGGAAGGGAAATTAGTATAGCCATTGTGGAAAACAGTTTGGAAGTTCCTCAAAAACTAGAAATAGAACAACCATATGATCCAGCACCCTCACTCCCGGGTACAGATCCAAAGAAATTGAAATATGCAAGAGATATCTGCAGTCTCATGTTCACTGCAGAGACCTCTTCCCAGTAGCTAAGATAGGGTGTCAGTATAGCTTTCCATCAACAAATGAATGCATATGGAAAATGTGGGACATATATACATAATAGGATACTATTTAGCTATAAAAAGAACGAAATCTTGTCATTTGTGAGATAATGAGTGAGCCTGAGGAACAGTATGTTAAGTGAAAGAAATCAGGCACAGTAAGACAAACAGTACATGTTCTCACTTATTTACAGAATCTTAAGTAGTTGATCAAGTAGGAATAGAGAGTAGAACAGTGGTTACTGAAGGTAGAGAAGCAGAGGCAGGGAGGAATGGAGAGAGCATGGCTGGTGGGCACAGGGTTGAAGGTGGAGGGGAAATAATTTCCAGTGTTCTATAGCACGGTAGGATACAGTGGTTGAAAATAATCAATTGTTTACTTTAGAATAGCTCATGGAGAGGATTATATACTTCCCAGCACACAAAAATGATAACTGTTGGAGATGATAGAATTCCCAATTACTCTGTTCTGATCATAGCAATTGTATACAAGTATTGAAATATCACACTGTCCCTCATAAATATGTGTAATTATGATGTGCCAGTTAGAAATGAAAGTGTATATAAAGGCAAGAAAAGATAAATGAAGACAAAGTGTGATATCCTTGACTATGACTTTGCATGTGTCCCTCACACAGTTCACATTTTTGGGTATTGCACCTGGCTTCTCTCTACAGGGGCCCCTTTGGGTTCCTCTAGGAAGAGATCACACACGTGTTGGACAGGACTGAGGGAAATAGGGTGATATCACCGTTTTACCTGCAAAGCTACAATACTCTCTGTGTTGAAACTTGCCCAGCTCATCTGAACCCTCCTTAACCACATGCTTTTGCTATTTTACATTTTATACCTCTTTGTTTCTTTCTTCAGTTTCTCCCTTAAGTGGGTTTGGAAAAGGAGACACAAGAAGATACTGAGTTTGTATCTAGTCAGAATTATGGCACCAGTGACCTCTACCCTCCAGTGAAGGCCTTGGTCATGCCATGTCACGTGGCAAAAGAGATTTTGCAGGTGAAATTAAAGTGATGAGAATAAAATAGTGAGGTTGCTGGGAGGATCCAATCTAATCAGAAGGCCTCCTCACTCCACTGGTAAGCAGAAGAGCGATGCATCAGATAAAAAATACAACAGATTCAATACACAAGAGGGATTTGGCTTTGACGTTGTTGCTGGCTCCAGCGAGGGCTGCATTGGTCAGGATTCAGAAACAGAACTGATAGGCTGTATATCCACATGGAAAAAGATGTATTATAAGGAACTGAAAACAAAATTGTGGAAGCTGACAAGTCCCAAGGTGTGCAGTGTGAGTCAGTGAGGCGGCGGCCCAGGAGAACCTGTCGTTCAGGTCTATCCCAAAGTCGGCAGGCCTGAGACCCCAGAAGAGTCAATATTTCACTTCGAGTTCAAATGTAAGAAAAAAGAAATTCCTACTTCAAAAGCAGTCAGGCAGAGGGGGTTCTTCCTTCTTTAGTAGACAATCTACCTTTTTGGGCCATTAAGGCCTTTCACTGATGGGAGGAGGCCCAGCCACATCAGAGAGGACCACCTGCTTTTCTGAGTCTACCCACTTAAAACATTAAACTTATCCCCCACAAACACCCACACAGGTGCAACCAGAATGGTGTTTGACAAATATCTGGGCTCTCCGCTGCCCAGCCAAATGACACGTGAAACAGACATCACGGGGGGCCAGGAGCCAGGCAACAGAGACTACCTCGGAAGCTGAGAATGGCATCCAGCTGAGAGCCAGGAAGGAAATAGGCTCTATATCCACAAGGAACTGATGATCTGTGCTAATCATCTGTAGGAGCCTAGAAGCAGATCTTCCCCACTGTACTGAAGAGCTCCCAGATAAGGGCCTGTGGCTGCCAACACCTTGATTGAGGCTTCACACGACCCAGAGCAGAGGGACTGTCCAAACCCACCCAGCCTTCTGATGGAAGGTGTCATCGCCCAGCAAAAGGCTCTTTTCTCTGTTTTACTCTAGTGGCTACAGTTTGCTTTCCTTTCAGCAGTGAGTGGTCCTAGCATGTCTTGCTCTGGTATGTGACAAGGGCTGGGGGACACACAGTGAGTAACACAGTTTTCTGTGCTGATGCTTTGCTCTGTAGCTGTGCTGGGTGAGCTCCTTTTCTCTGCCTTTACACTGAGGTCTTCCTTGGGAGGTTTCTTGTTCTTCTAGTACATAGGTTCATGTCAGCCCTCTCCTACTCCTTCATGGAGATCTGGGCAGGCCTTGGCTGGAGGGAGAGACATAGTTCAGACTGTCCTTGTACGACTAGAAACCAGCTGAGACAGAACTAGAAGGCTTTGAGCTTTATCTTTTATACCTTGAAGATGTAGGTAGCCACAGGACAGACTCTGTGAGGGGAGTAATTACTATTCCTGTCTGGAATAGATCTGATTTTATTTATTTTTTTTTGTGGTAGTAGGGATTGAACCTAGGGCCTTTGCACTGAGTTATGTCCCCAGTCCTGTGTTTTTGTTTCTGTTTTCATATTTTAGATTTTAAGACAAGATCGTGTTAAATTACTAAGTGGCCCAGTTTGAGCTCGAACTTGGATCCTCCTTTCTCAGCCTTTTGGAGTGCTGGGATTATAGGCACATAGCACACTACCTTGCTTAGAATTAGGTTCTTAAACCTTTCTTACTAGATACTTTGTACTCACAGACTCTCACGGAATCTGATGTTTGAGCCCACATACCTTAGCAAAAGCCACTCTGCCTTTATGACAAAATTCAGCCCCTACAGAAATGACTGTGAACCAAAAGCAAAAAAAGAAAATAAAAAGGAAAAATTTAACCTCTGTTTAGTTATTATACTTTAGTTAGCAGTGAGAAGCAGCATTTTTTGATGGCAGGTGAAAGATAAGAGTTTGGAGCCTCGACCTTAAGACTTCCTTCAGTGCAAGGTCACATCTCCATGGAGGCTTGTTTTGGTGCCATCACGGAGTCTGAGGATGCTGGTGTGTGCACTTTTCAGAAAGGGTCACGCGCTTAGATTTCATTGCTACAAAATGATCAGGTATAGTTTTGCAGGCAAAAGTCAGAAAATATTGCAGCCTTCCCCACCTGAACCGCCCCATGAAGAACTGGTTTATTAAGTTAAAAAGGCAGAAATGTGCCTTCAAACAAACACACTAAATTAGACCTTTCAAAACACTTGTCATTAAAAGATGGTTTGTTGAAACTTCAGATAGGTTAAACGTACGCCACTATTTGAGTGAAAAAAATTAGCTTTCCAGGGTTGCAATTACAACCCTACTTAGTTGCCATGGTGATCGCACAGCATATGGATTTTGTCAGATAAAGACATCAGGGGTGGAGAGAAGGGACAGTATATTTTTTGAATCACCACATGCCAAGTGTCAACTCCTTGGCAGTTCTCTTGCAAAAAAAATTTTTTTTAAAGAGAAAAATGTGTTTGGATTCGGGAGAGGAACTTTGGAAGGATAAGAAAGAGAAAAGTACCAGAAATGTGTAAAGAAAAATCTGACTTTCAAATAATGTGGCCATTAATGCCAAATTGTGGAATAAGGCCTCCTGAGGATTTGAATGTTAGGAGCACGTAGGTCTAGGAGAGGGGCTTGGAGCCAGCTGCAGTTCACAAACATGGTCTAATAATGATGGTCAATCTATTTTAGTTTACCCTCTCCTGTGGTTTCTCTTAGTTTTATAGGCCATGTCACTTTAATGTTCGTTTCCCATCTTAACTGCATGCAAATCTAAGGTTGTTGTTAACCGTGATCTTGTCTATCACCTGGACCATTGATGTACAAACTACATCATGGAATAAGAATGTCCCTGTGCCAAAGACTTGAGACTTTGAGATATGAAATCATTATCAGTGAATTTTTCTCCATCACAAGAATGAAAAAAAAAAACAACTAAAATATTTTATAAATTCTAATAAAACATTGAATTCTCACTTTATAGATATCTTTGGTATTCAGAATGTATACACTGAATGATTACATCTGCTCTGCCAGCGTGACTGTGACACTGAATGATTGTACCTCATTTCTGTCCTACACAGTGTGGCGGTGAATCTCAGCACTGGATAGCCTGGGGCCAGTGGCCTCACTTGCTCTGTGACACTGGGTGGTGGCTGCTATTTGTCAGCCCCCGCAGCAACCACTAGATCCTGATCTTATGGATTTCATATTTTAGTGGGGGAAGAGGAGAAAACAACATGTCAAATGTTTGCAGAGTATCTTAAAGATCTGAAAGGAAAGGGACATGGTTTTGTAATGGAGAGGTCCTTTTGGGAGAGAAGGAGGTAGGTCAGAGATCTGTGGAAGACAGCTAGGATCTAAGGACCTAGGTACGGATAGCCACCAAAGATCTGGGGAAAGATCAGAGGCAAAAACACAAATACCATGAACTGTTAAAAACTAGAGTAGAGCAAAAGAAGATCCAAGGGAAGGCTGACATAGCGGCAGATCCAGAAGAGTTTGGTGTCCAGGATACAGTTTCAGTTTTAATCTTTTCTTTAGAGTAATTTATAAAATTACATGAAATTGTTACAGATGTTTTGAAAATCTTAGACACCCAAAAGGACTGCTTGTGGAAAAGAATATACAGGGTTGGATGCTCTGACAGGCTTATGTAGAATTCCCATCCTGAGCCAGGGGCTGACTTCACTGATGAGGAGATGAAATTCCCTCTTCCTGGTCCTTCGCTGTCTCTAAGGCACAGGGTCTCAGCGATACTTTTCAGGCCTTGACGGTCATCAGAGAACATGGCAGGCTTGTTAAAAATGCAGGTTCCTGTGTTCCAAAGCATGAAAGGGTGCCATGGGTGACAACAATGATGTATTTCAGAATAGCTAATGGAGGGGATTCTGGATGTTCCCCATCAAAGAAATGACAAGTGAGTGAGGTAGTAGACATGGTGGTTATCTTGAGCTGATCACTAATATATATATATACATCACACTATGCCCAGGAAATGTGTATAATTACTATGTGTCAGGGAAATGCAAATCAAAACTATATTGACATTCCATCTGATTCTAGTTGGAATATAAAAAATATCAGGAATATAAAAAGTAGTAATTACAGGTGAGGATGTAGGGGAAAAGGAACCCTTCTACACAGCTGGTAGGAATGTATAGCCAATATGGAAGTCCAACAGAGGTTCTTCAAAAACCTAAAAGTAGAACTACCATGGTTCTGCTATGTTACCCTAGATATATACCTAAAGGAATCAAAGTCAGCATACTACAGGGATATCTGCACACCCATGTTTATTGCAGCTTTATTCACAAGAGCCAAGACATGGAATCAGCTTAGGAGCCTATCGATGGATGAGTGGATGAAGAAAATGTTGTATACATACACAATGGCATATTATGCAACTGTAAAGAAAAATAAAATTACATCATTTGCAGGAAAATGGGGGCAGAACTGGAGGTCATAAGGTTAAATGAAATAAGCCACACTCACAGACAAACATCCCATGTTTTTTGTCTCCTATGTGGGACCTAGGGGCAAAAACATGACACAAAAGTAGAAGGCAGGCTACTAGACAACAGGAAGGGGCTCTGGAAGATGGGGGAGGGGAGAGTAACGGAAGTTAACAGGGTGAAGGATTTGATCAAAGTATGTTATATGCAGGTATGAAATTGACACAGCAAAACCCATTGTTCTGTATAATTAACATGCCCTAACAAAAAATTCAAAAATAAAAAAATATATTTAAAAAGATGTAGGTGTCTAAACTCAGCTAAGTCTTGCTGAACCCGAACCACAGTGGTAGGAATGAGAGAACTTTCTGTTATACCCTGGTGCAGTCAGACAAGTGGTCATGTTGGGGTCCCATGCAGGACATGGGATCAGGCAGAGTCTACTGATGCCAGGGAGGCCCAGAATGTGGCGGGAGGGGGTCAATTATTTCCTCCCTTCAGCAACAAGAGAGGAGGAGGGGTTGCCTCACACTGACCAGTGCATTCCAGCTGGGCAGGGGTGCGCTGGGGGCTTTGGTCTGACTCTGTTCCACTTCTAGCTATGTATCCCATCCCTCTGCTGAGGGCTGCAAGAAGCCCATTCTCCTGACTGTCCGAAAGTGCTTGTCTTTACTAGCTTAGTGCCTTTCATTCCTAACAAGGAGATAATTCCTAGGGACTGGGGACATGTCTGGGGATGTAAATAGTGTGTCTGTCTCTTTAACTAGAAAGTCGTTAGGGAATCTTAGCCAATGCTAATTATACAGATCGGGTATTGCTAATAATTAAAATGTGCCTTAGGCTTTCTGGGAGGGTCCCTCTTAAGAGCTAAGGGTTGGTTCTCCTTCCCTTGTTGTTTTATGTATTTACAAATTAATTTAAATGTGATAATCTGCAATATTGATAATTATAGATGCTTAATGAAATAGGTATGTGTCATTCTTAAGATGAGCTCCTTATAAGAAAACTAAGATACAACCACCGATCCAAGAAATCTTCTTACAGTATACCCATTCAGTCAGGGAGAGGCTATTTACAGAAGTGCAAGAGGCAAAAAAACCAGCAAAAAATCCTTCCCAATCTCACGCAGTCTTTTACCTCTTTCTTGAAACCAGTGTGGGGATCAGAAAATGCTCACTGTAGAAACGTCCGTTTGAAGCTAGACCCAGATCAACATCCAATTTAATACAGGTCAGTGAACAAGTGTTAAAAAGCAAGGTTTCTCGCCTGCTTCCCATCTATACTGGATTAAAAACAATGATTTAGAGGTGAAAGGCTCTCTGCCCGGGCCACCAGCTCAGTGCCATTCAGCACTTTGGCTATTCTTCAGTGTTGAAATCCTTGGCACCATATTTTCTTGAGGTCATCTTCATTCGACAGGACGTTGCTCTGTCTCATCCTGCTAGAGAATTTATTATATCGATTTGGGGAATAAGGTTAATTGAAATGAACTTTTGGTTTTGAAGGTAGGTTCAGTGCAAGCTTCTACAATTAAAATGGAATTCTTCTCCTTTAAATGACTCAGGCTCATTTGACTGCCTGGACAGTACTGTTTAGAGCAAAGACAGGAGTAATTTTACAATGTGCAATGCTCATTTACTTTTCCCCTGTTGCTATAACAACTCACTTTTGAACCAGACGTGCTGATAGAAAAAGCCTTGGCTTCACAATGAATTTCACATTGGTTTTGTTTAGATTTTTCAATCAGTTCTCTTGGAACTGCAGCTGGACGTGCAGGAATAGATTTTACTCTTTCCTTTTTTAGAAACTGAGCTTAGCACTGAAGCTTTGTGTTTCCATCTTGTCTCCAGGGTTGAAAAAAGGCCATCTACATCCCATGTACAGTCTGTGATTTTGCTGACATCAATCACGTTTCATACCAGATTGTACTTTTCTGGTAACACCAGGGCTTGTGGTGCTTCTGAAGGAGAAATGGAACTGTCCATTCATTCTGTGGTTGAATCTTCTGTCCCAGTGCTAACAGCAAAATCTGTGCATCTGCAGAATTCGGGGTTCTGCAAATCTCAAGGTCTTGTGATGCCTCTCATTGCACAGGAACATGCCTTGTTTGTTAAAGATCACAAGGAGAAGACAAGGAGGTTTGGTAAGCATGGAAGAGACAGCTATTTTCTGAAAAACACAAATGAGTAATTGCACCCAAAAAGACTCCAGTTCTGCTTTCATGCCCTTCTTCTTCTTTTTTAAAAAACTTTGTTGGTACAGTTTAGGTATACAAAATGACCATGTTCATTATAGGGAATTTGTATCTGTACATGATATATCTTATTTCTTCTTTTTTATTTTTCTCATTCCCTTCCCTTTTCAGGCCCTTCTTAACATTCTCCAGGATAACAGACACTAACAGGGGCCTAAAATAACATGCTTGCTTTGAGGAGCATTGGACTATGAAAGGCTTCTTTTAACATAGGTCGAATTAAGAATTCAATTTAAAAAGTGACTTAAATGTTTGGGATGTGCACTTCCCAGTCAATATCTCTATCTTCTTTTTTGGTAAAAGAAACTATAGAATGGTTTTCACAGCCTCACAGAATTTTTAAAAATCATGGGATTCTGGAGGCTAAAAACTGAGGCTGGTAAAGAACATGCCAGGAAATTTAACCCTCTCCTCCTCATACCCTACCTCCAGGGAGAGAGGAAGTGGTTATGGCCAGTTCTGCCTCTTTGGGCACTGTGACTTCTTTTTGTCTATAGGTCTTAGCAAAAAGAAGAGCTGAGCTGTTCAATATCCCAGAGGAAGAGATTTCCTAAATAGAAAGACCAAATACATAGATATTGGCATGGGCAATGCATCTAAAACTCCCAGGGGGCTAGGAGGGCCAAGGGAATTGTGCCCCATGTGCTGTAGCCAACATTCAGGTCCTCTTCGGCTACGCTGTTTTGTTCTTATGTTCCCAGGCCACCCCTGGCTCCTAGGCACAAACATGGCTGGAAGCTGTGCTCCATGGCAGGAACATAGACATCATGTGGACTTTAGTGGCAATACAAAAATGGATCTATTTAAGAACATAACAATGATGTCCTTCAAGTATTCATTTTCCATTCTGGCAGATCCATGAAAATTAATCCTTGGCCATAAAACCAAAATGAAAACTTGGCTATAAGCCTAATCCTACCTGTCTGTCTATCTATCTATCTATCTATCTATCTATCTATCTATATCGGTCTAATCTATCTTTAATGTCAAACATGATCCAAGGGGCTCAAGTCACTGTGAGAATTTGACCTTACTGGAGCAGAGCAGAAGCCCGGTATACCTCAGCCTGTTCACCAGGGAGGCTGTCTGGGGTCTTTGCACGACAATCAACTATTCAGAAATGTCAACTTGAAGACTTCCAAACTCACCATTTCTAGTTAATTTTGCAAATGAAGTGTTGAAGAAGGAAAATCAATATTTAAGGACCTTTAAATGTTAGTGCAGCTTTTGTTTAAAATAAATCACATCCTGAGCAGTTCTATAATCATATGTGTGAAAGTGGGTGAAATCAACTCAGAAAAACATACAAATTCATTGGGCCAATACAGAAGTTCATGTCAATTCATATATTTACTAGTCCTAATTTTCAGGTCTGGGGCTTGAGAGGCAAACAATTTAAAAATTTATTTATACCTTAGAGTTATGAGGGAAAGGCAATATTCTGTTATAACAGTAGTAATAACTTTCTCCCCTTTCATTAACTACTTTGTAATTTATGACACATATCACACACTCCCAAAAAGAATTGAAGAAGCTGTTTTCTCAGTTCATAACATAAACATTGCTTTCTGGTAGATTAAAAATCATCTGGACATGTTTACTCTTAAGGGTGACACAGTTAACAGGAGAAGACTTTTCAAGAATCTGATTCCTTTTTTACTAGCAACTGAAGAGGATCTAGTAGGAGCTGGCAGTAGTGCGGAGCCCTTCCTGCACGGTCAGGATACATGGGCAAGTGCTGCCTCCAATTCCAGTGAGGTGGGCAGGACTCCATATTCCTTGACAGCAGGAGATGTGGTCATGAGCGGCTTTCCCACATCACGGAGACATGAGTGTTGGCTTCAGATCACAACCATACGCCCAGGGGACTAACAACTATAAAACATCGATTCATACATATCTTTGTTCAGAGAGCAGCAAGCAGAAAAAGAACATTTTATAGGGAAAACAGCAAGAGCAAATACCAAATATGAAACCAAAAGTTGGCTAGCTGCAGGGACCCTGGAAACAAACCCCAAGTACAGAACACTACCCATAGCTAACTGAAAGGAAAGCACTAGATAGTAGTGAGTCTATAACAAGGTGAAGAAGTTTATCCATTTGTTTAATTATTTAAGGAAAACACACACACCAGATATTTTAGTGAGCATTATGCGCCAATCCCTATGCTAATTATTTGAGAGACAGAGAGAAGGAAACTGCAGTCTTCACTGTCAGGTAGCTGAGACTCCAGTGAATGGGCTCAAGAATAAATAAAGCCATCATGCTGTACTGAGCACTAAGATAAGAAGCTGAGGAGGGCACCTCAAAAGAGGTGGCACATGAATGAGTCCTGAATGAAAAAGGAATATACCCATGTAGAGATGTAGAGGGAATCAGGACAGAAAAGATTCTAACTTGGAATTTGGTGTATAGTTATTTGACAGAGAAAGTTGGCTTTTTAAAGTCGTGCTTGAGATTCGGGGCGTAACTGTCATCTCAGGATTCCATTAGCATGGTAGTGATGCAATCAGCCCTGTGCTTTGGCAGGAGATTGTGAGGTAGTGTAGAGAAGGACTGCACATAAGGGGAGAGAAAGATGGGCCAGCTTTTCCAGAGACAATGGTGTCATGCAGGGAGAGGCTGTTAGGGCCTAAATTAAGGTAGGTGATAGATAAAGCTTTTTCAGGTGCGTTAGTTTGCATCATAATTTGCTGCATAGAGTTCCACAGGGCTGTGTGGCAGAAAGAAAAAGTTGCCAAAGGAACAGATTGAAGCTGGGCACTTGTAGGGTTTTAGATTCTCTGCATAGTTTACACATAGATCGGAGACCTATGCATTCCTTCTTTCTTTTCTACTGTGTTCCTTGGCCCAGTTTCTCATTTGTAAAATGATGGTAACAGTGGAACATCTGTTGTGGTGTGAGTATGAGAAAAACAGAAATAACGCATGTGGAACACCTTATTCCTCAATATATGAGCTCCATATATCTGCACATTTACCTCACTGGCTTGTATGTGTGCATGTGTGTGGTGGGTCTGAGTATCCTATGTGCCCATGCAGATGTGTTTACAGGGTGGTTATGTATATGTATCACGGATCTGTGTTTGGTAGGTGTATGTGTAGAGTGTATGTATGTGGGTACACACACGTGTACATGTGTGTGCATGTGTGTGGTGGGTCTCCAAAATGCCCTTTTCTAAGTTCCACTGTATTCCTTATTTTCAAAAATTCCCTAGAGGATTCCTTATTGGGTTATTTCTGGTTGCTAAGCTTTTTAAAGCACGAGATTTTCATTTACAGTGATACCAAACTTTAAAAATTAAAATAAAGAACAACTAGAAAAAGGGAACAAGATAGTATTTGAACGGCACTGAAGCATAATTTTGTCTTTAACTTGGATTCTCCTTTGTTCTAAATAGTCCTGATTGCTAAAATTGGATGCATACTCTTGCCATCATCCTTGAACAAAACCACTATTAGCTTAAATGTTTTCTATATTTAGAGGAAATAATCTTAACAACCATCCATACAGAAACAGAATAACACTCAAAGGCTTTGTGAAAGAAAGTGCAACTTTCTTTACAGGAAAGTTTTGCAATAACTCTAAACTTTATCTCACCATTTTTGAGAGGTATTTCTTGAAGCAACAGGAAAATCATCCTGTTGTTCAATTCATTTATCAAAACCACTCTTGCTTTTATTGGAAGACAGGGAAATGAATGCTAAACATCTTTTACGTTAACCCTATTGCCCTTGAGCATCTTACTCCATACAAAGATTTATTTAACTCTGAATAAGCCACCAGTTCCTTGGTGCATCGAGTGTGCTCGAAGCCCCTCTGACGTAGTGCTTCTGTCCTAATATGAAGGTCATTTTCTGCCACTTGTTCATTTTCCATAAAGGTTGCATCAAATGATGGAGGGTGTGAGAAGTCTGGTGTAAGCAATCCAGGTTCGAGAACAGCTTTGCCCTTACTAGGTGTTGATCCTGAATAACAGACTTAACCTTTATCTACCTTGTAAAATACAGAAATACTTCTTAGCCCTTAAGCTACTTTAGAAGGCTCAAAAAGTGAATATGCAAAATATCTATCAAGTTTCTTGGTGCAGAAGAGGCTCAGTAATAATAGCTGCTTTTAAACCATCACCCTGTCAATAGTTCACAAGGTACAAAAAGATAATCTCTTCGGTTCACATAGCTTACAGACTGCAGAGATATTTACAGAAAGTTTATGAGCAATTCTCAAATTCATTGCTAATGTAATTCATGAGGTACCATGCAACAACTTTAGTTTACTAGCATTTAAACAAGAAACTGGGAGTATTCCTTCCCACAGCATCACATGTACAGTATATATAATAGTAACCTCGCATATAATACTCAAACTGGTTTATGCAGAATGAGAAATAGAGAATATATCTGCAGAAATAAAAGTCCCCAATTCTCTGAAGTTTCACTTTGTAATGTTTCAAATTTCTGTAGTCATTCCCAGTCTAAAAATATTAAATGGAAAATTCTAGTGTCTTAGTTACTTTCTCGCTGCTGGGACAAAGCACTTGACACCCGCAACTGAAAGGAGAAGGTTTCTTTGGCTCATGGTTTAAGGAGAATTCAGTCCACAGTCTTCTAGCTCCAAGGCAGAAGCAACATGGTGGAGGGATCTGGTGGAAGAAAGCTGCCCACACCATGTAGGTCAGGAAGCAGAGAGAGAAGGGGGGAACCACGTAGGGGAACATAACTTTCCAGGTCATACCTCTCAGTGGCCCACCTCTACCAGGCTCCATCTCTTAACAAGAAGTTAGTCATAGCACCCTCCATGATCCAATCACCTTCTACACACATAAGAATTTGAGGGGATATTTTAGATCTAACCATAACATGCCCCCATTCTGGGTAGCATGAAATATACCATCCTATTCTGTCCTGCGTGGGATATGACTTGTCCCATAGTCCAGAGTATCCATGCTGTATACGTTTCCTACACACCAGTCATTTAGATGCTGTCTCCATAATCAGATCATCTGTTCTGATATTGCAATGACTTTGTTCAAGTAACCCTTATTTTACTTAATAATGGGTCTAAAGTGCAGGAGTAATGATGCAAAAGTACTGGAGCACAAAACATGAAAGCACAGAGGAATCTGGGACCGCTGTGGCCATGCTGTAGGGTACACATGAAAAAAAGAATATATAGGGTTTGGCACTAGCCATGGTTTCACGGATCCATGGGGGAGGGCGTCTTAGAACACATCCCTTTCAAATAAGGAACATGACTATACATACAGAACTTTATCAGCAGGAGAGTTCATGGAAGAATAAGAAAAGGACAGCTAGCTTCAAAGTCCAAATTACTAAAATAAGCAGTACAATTCTTCCCTATCACCATGCAAATAAGGCATCTGCCAGAGGGAAGAACTCCAATCCTTACAGATGGAAATTTAGAAAGGCACCAGGAGCTTTTGATCATAGTGTTGACATTTTTTTACTGAAAGACACTTGGCTTTGGAAATGATTCTTCCAGGCAGAAAGAACAAACTGTATTTGATTGGAACCAGCATGCAGAAAGGCCAGCATTTCCCACGTGCTCACCACTGAGGTTTCATTTATGCTAGACTCTAAGAGCAAGTCAAGTTGGGTGATGACTTCTAAGCAGTACCTGGGGAGGCATTTGGTCCAGCCAGCGTGCTTCCTACAAATCACTGTGGGAAAAAATGGGATCACATGCAAAACAACAACAAAACAGAGATGAAAGAATAAAATAAATTCAATCAATTTTCAGTGTAGCTCAGAGTTGAGAGAAAGAACGGCATTTTAATGAAGACTTTTAGTTCAAGGCCAGGCACTAGCCTTGCCTTTAGCCTGCCCAATAGTCACAGGATGCTGAAGGCACTGGGTTTCCTGAATGTTTTCTCCAAACAAGAAAGGTTTAATCTTTCTGTGCAGCAGCATGCTCAGCAAGCAACAAAAGCAAACAGAGATGAAGAAATTTCTCTGCTACCTCTCTTAGACCCATAATCCCCAAATCAAACACTTCTTTCTCCTGTACGCTTCCCCAGGGAGCTGTCAAGACAGCAGGCAGAAAGAGACCCTGGATTCCTTCCAAGGTCACTGCAGGATACTGGACAAATTCAGCCTCACAGAGAATCTAAACCACCCGGTGGGGACTGTGTCAATGTATTTCTCCCAGAATGCATCACATAAATGACCGCGATCGCCATCTTGACGTCTGACATGTAGTCAATCAGCCACACAGCTTCCCTGATTATAGATGAAACGGGTACA